CTGCAACACCAGGTCCTCACTAAGAGTCGGCATCACCTTATTTTTATTCTTTTGCTCTTCTGAGTCCTTTCTGGAAAGGAATTTGAGCCCAAGCTGGATCTCAGGAGAAGGCATGCCTATAATGAAATATAATTAATCAATCACTTGCACTAATTTTATTATTCTACTTTTAGATGAATTAAGAAATTTATAAATATGGTAAAATATCATTTCACTAATGTTATATATTATTAAATGGCAAAGTAAATGTTTAGCATAAGTGAGGCCTGGGTTCACAGTACAAAAGATTATGTATCATGGTTTCTTAACTGTGACTTTCATATGTCAATAGTGATTATTATTTCTTAGTAGGTGGTCATGCTGCACTGAACATAACAATGCTTGACTATTTCTTGGCCTCGGGTTGAAGGAATGCAATGAGTATGTATAGAAAATTTTATATCCTAGAACTGGGGAAATGTCTTGATGGATAAAGAGCTTTTTGTCATTTTGTTAAAGCAGCCCAAGCTAAGACACACTTTGTCATTCAACATAAAAAGTTGCCTCAGAAGTAATTAGATGATTTCTCACAAATGCACTAAGATCTTAATATATTAATATATTAATGACACAAATAATCACACATATTAATTTGCATACATGCACATAGAAATTTAATATATCATAGCCCACAGTAAGATGGCTTAGTGGGTAAAATTGTATCCTGCAAAGGTAGACCACCGAAGTTCAACCCCTAGGGCACACATGGTGGAAGGGAGAACCAGCTCTCACAGTTGTCCTCTGACACACACACAGCAATTTATAAATTAATTTAATAGATCAGGATCATAGTGTTTTAAACAGAATAAAATGGAATACTCAGTAAATCATATTGGGACAATTAGTTTACTACTTGAAAAAAATAAAATTAGAACTCTTCTTTTTCCCATATGCAAAAATATTCTACCTATATTAAGCATAGAAAAATGAAAGCAGGCTAGAGATACAGCTCAGCTAATAGAGCACTTATTCACTCCAAAAGCACACGGACTTGAGTTTGGCCCAAAAACACATGTCAAAATGCTGAGTGATGGCACATGCTTACAATCCCAGCACTGCAGAGGTAGAGACAAGATGATCTCTGGGCTTACTAGACAGCCAGTTTAGCCAATAAGTGAGATCCAGGCTAATGAGAGATCCAGTCTGAAATGCAGACAGCATTTCATAAATGAGATCCAAGGCTATCCTCCAATATATATGGGCATATGTATATACGCACACAAACACACACAGAGGCACAAATAAATGAAGTTTAAAAAAGAGATACCACAGCCTATCACTCAGCCTGTGTAAAAACTCACTTCAAAACTGATTAAATATCTCAATGTAGGACCTAAAACTGAAATTTCTAGAAAAAAAAATACTTCAAGATATAGGCATAAGAAGTAATTTGTCTAGAAAGGACACAAACAGCACAAGAAATAATCTCAAAAATAGTCAAACAAGATTACATGAAAATAAAAAGCTTCTGAAAATCAAAGGAAACAATGACCATCATGTGAAGACCACCTAGAGACTAGGAAAAACATCTCTGCCACATATCAGATATGGGACTGATATCGAGAGTATATAAAATATATTCAAACACCAAGAAAAATCATCTAATTAGATATGGTGACAGATGCCTTTAAACTCAGGACTTAGAAGGGAGAGGCAGGTGGATTTTTGTTACTAGATTTCAGCCAGCCTGATTTACAGAGTGAGTTCCAAAATAGCCAGAGCTACACAGTGAGGCCCTGTCTCAAAAAAACAAAAAAAAAAACAAAAAGTACTGATGAACTGGATAAGACAATTCTCAATAGAACAAACGTAGAGAGCCAATAAATATTTGAAAAAATGTTCAACATCTTTAGCTGTCATAGACATGCAAATTAAAACTGCTGAGTCCCATCTCACCCTATTTGTAATAACATCATCAAGAAAGCAAATGTCAAATACTGGTGAAAACCTGAAAAAAAGGGACCCTTATACACTACTGGTGGTAATGTAAACTTTTAGTCACCACGGATGTTCCTTAAAAAATAAAAGTAGAAGCCGGGCAGTGGTGGTGCATACCTTTAATCCCAGCACTCAGGGGGCAGAGGCAGGTGGAGTTATGTGAGTTTGAGGCTAGCCTGGTCTACAGAGCGAGTTCCAGGACAGGCTCCAAAGCTACAGAGAAACAAATAAACGTAGAACTACTATATGACACAACTATCGCACTCCTAAGCATATACTCAAAGGACTCTATGTCAACAAAGCATAGAGTTACTTACACATTCATACTTAACCTCTGCCCTACTAACAACAGCCAGGAATAGAAATAGCCTCCATGTCTATCAACAGATGAAGAAAATGCGGTGCATACACAATGCAATGTCATGAATTCATAAATAAAAATCAAATTTTGGTATTTGCAGGAAAAATTAAAGGAAATAGAATCATGATTTTTAAAAAAGACACAGAAAGAAAGTCCTCAGCAGGTATAAGTTTTCTCAAAATGGAGGGATCCATCACGGGCTGCCTGAGGAAAAGCTTTAAACACCTCCCACAGGCTCCTGAAGACTAGCTGTGGGAATCAAGTCTGATCCTGCTTAGAAACCTTCCTTAGCTCAACCTGGACTGGGTCTACTTCTGATACCCCATTGACCATTAACAAAGAATTGCCTAAAGGCATCCCTAAGACCCCAAGGCCCATACAGTTGATCAAACATCTGAAAAGTTGGGGGCAAGAGGAAACATACCTCCAACACTCAGTAAACAGAGAAACTAGATTCTCATACCAAGAAACATTACCAATGACCTAATTTCCATTGCAAATGCAAAAAGTACGAATAAACAAAAATATAGGTCTCCTCCAAAAATGATTCTCACACAGTAATGTCCCCAAAGAAAAGTGACTTAGATGGCATACAAGAAAATGATTTCAAAATAGCAATGATAAGCAAGATCAAATGCTGGAAAGAAAACATAAATAGATGAATAACAAAATCAACTCAATATATGAAAATGAAATTTAAAAAACAAAAAAGAAAAGCCAAAATAAAATAAAAAATAAGAAAATTCAAACAAAAATTAAAGAGTAAAGATTCACTGGATACATCAGATCAAACAGAAGAGGAAACATCAGGTCTTGAAGACAAGTAGAGGAACTGGATTGGAGAGAATGCTGAATTACACAGACAGACAGACAGACACACACACACACAGACACACACAGACACACACACACACACACAATCCACCTGAGAATGAAACTTGCAGGAAGTCAGGAACACTATAAAAAGACCAAATCTATGAATAATAGAAAAAGAAGAATGGAATAAGGGGCTGAGATCAAATATATAGAAAATATTTTCAACAAAACATAAACTTCCTTACTATAAGGAAAAGAAATGCCCATCGAAGTCCAAGGGGCATACAGAATACCTAACAGAACCAGGAAACAAACTCCCCACATCACATCAAAACACTAAGTGGGGGCTGGAGAGATGGCTCAGAGGCTAAGAGCACTGGGTGCTCTTCCAGAAGACCTGGGTTCAATTCCCAACAACCAAATGGTAGCTTACATTTGGTGAGTTCTTCTGGTGTGCAGGTATACATACATACATAATAAATAAATAAATCTTTAAAAAAAAAAACCACTAAGTGACAGAACAAAGGAAAGATACTGAAAGCACCAAGAGAGGAAACTCAGGTCCCATAGAAAGACAGGCCCATCAGAATTAACAACTGATTTTTCAATGGAGACTGAAAGCCTGAAGGAATTGGACCAATGTTCTACAAGTTATTAAAGAGCACAAATATAATCCAGAAAAACTTCTGGTTATAGTGGAAGGAAAATGAAAACTTTCAAGATTTTAAAAAAACTATGACCACCATAGGATACAGAAAGGAATGCTTAGACCTGAAGATCGTAGAGCATGCTCAGGAAGACACAGGAAACAACATATCCAGAACACGGAATCAAAGGGTAACAAACGTCAGGAATAACACATGCGGCTCAGTAACGCTTAATATCAACGGTCTCAATCCCCCAACACACAAAGACTAACAGATTAGATCAGAAAACAAGATCTAGTAAATTTTTGGTTTTAGTTGTTGTTGTTGTTTTCAAGACAAGGTTTCTCTCTAGCTTTGGCGCCTGTCCTGAATTTTGCAGGCAAACGGATGGAGCTAGAAAACATCATTTTGAGTGAGGTAACCCAGACAAAGAAAAACAATTATCACATGTACTTACTCATAAGTGGTTTTCAAACATAAAGAAAACAAAATCAGCCTACAAATCACAATCTTTGAGAACCTAGACAACAATGAGAACCCTAAAAGAGACATACATAGATCTAATCTACATGGGAAGTAGAAAAAGACAAGACCTCCTGAGTAAATTTGGAGCATGGGGATCTTGGGAGAGGGTTGAAGGTGAGGGGAGAGGCAGGGAGGGGAGCAGAGAAAAATGTAGAGCTCAATAAAAATCAATAAGATTTTTTTAAAAAAAGAAAAGATGGGAGAGACACTCTATACTCATTACAAGGAAAACAGCAGGATATTAGAACCCTAAACATATATGCACCAAACAGGATCACTCAGTTACATAAAAGAAACCCTATTAGACTTAAGGCCACAGATCGATTACAGCACAGTGAGAGTGGGTGATTTCAATACTCCGACCTTCACCAGTGACAGGTAATTTGGGAAAAAACCTAAATAGAACTCTGTAGTTAAATCACATCATAAATCAAACAGACCTAACAGGTATTTACAGGACACTTAACACTAAGAATACACATTCTTCTCAGCAGCCCGTGGAACTTTCTCTAAAACGGACCACATGCTGGGAGGATTCCCTGGTGACAAGCAATGTAACTTGATAAGTTCCAGGAAAAAAAAAAGGTGTATGCCTGAGAGATGACACATGAAGTTGTCCTTCCAAATACATGCACATACATAAGCATGTATACTCAAACACACATGTGTATCTGTACACACACATACCCATGTGTCTTAGGTTTTTTTTTTTTTTTTTCCGAGACAGGGTTTCTCTGTGGCTTTGGAGCCTGTCCTGGAACTAGCTCTGTAGACCAGGCTGGTCTCGAACTCACAGAGATCCGCCTGCCTCTGCCTCCCGAGTGCTGGGATTAAAGGCGTGCGCCACCATCGCCCGGCTACACATGTATCTTAGTGATGGGGGATTAAATAAGAATTTTAATAACATATATGTATGAAAATGCCATAAAGGAATTCATTACTCTGTGTGTTAAGTTGGGAGCGTAGACCCCAGCCCCTGGTATCTATCCTAACCCCCAGGCCTGAGAGTTGTATTGGTTTGGACTCCAAATCCCAGCATGCCAGGTCCTGACCCCTCGCTGGGGGGATCAGGACCACTCCCACAGAGTATTTAAGTAAACTCCCAAAAGAGGATCACATGATTCCTTTTCCTTCCTCCTGGTGGTCAAGTTTGCGGCCTCCTGGTTCCCCCCGGGGCCACCCGAGAGTGCAGAAATCCCATTAAACCTGGATATTTCTTAATTTTGGTTTGTTTTGATTTGGCTTGATTGGGAATTTGCATAGGCAGAGAGCTCGCGTTAGGAAAATTCCTAACACTGTGTTCTAAGCTTTAAAAATAAATAATAAACCATGGAAAAATTTTAAATGTTATTTTGTACTCTTACAAGCTTTTAAAAATAGGTTTTAGAGTGAAGCTAGAGATTATAAAATGATGAGGAGAGCAGTCCAGGTCCACTCCAACGCTTTGCACCTTTTCTAGGAGCCCTACATGGCCTCTGGAAGCTACAGTTCCCACTGCTATCCCCATTCCAGATCTTAAGGGATCTTAGGGTCTGTCATAAATCTGTGTAAGAAGTTGTGCAACATTAATGAAGAAGAGTAACATAAAATAAGGAGTTAACAGAATGATAATACTTGGGACACTGACAACATCTAGTAAAAGGCTTTCCTCACCTTTCCACATTCCATTTTCACCAGAATGAAGACAGAACTCAGATTTAAAAGACGGGTCTCGATTCAAGAGCAACCTTTCAAATGCAAAACAGAAAATACAGATTAATAAGATATTTCCAAATATAATAATATTTTAATTATCATTTTTAGTAAAACTCAGATTGCTAAAATTCTTTTATACTACCATAAATATTTATATTTCAAACTACTAATTCAGAAACATTAACTTTAAAATAGAATTCATCCAAGAAGAAAAATGCTCACTAGTCATATTAATTTTTACTATTTTGTCATTATGTTTGGTTTAGGGGGACAAGAAACAGAATACTAATAGCACTTAATTGTCTTAGTTACGATTGTCTTGGTTATTGCTGTGATAAACAGCACAACCCAATGCAGTTTTGTAAGAAAGGATTTATTTCAGCTTGTGCTTCCCCATCATAGTCCATGGTCAAAGGAAGTCAGGGCAGGAACTCAAGAAAGACAAGACCCTGGAAGCAAAAATGGAAGCAGTGACCACCGAGGAGTGCTGCTTACTGGCCTGCTGTCCATGATTTGTTTCTTATACTATCCAGCAGCACGTACCCAGGACTAGTGCTACACAGCGGACTAGGCCCTCCTAGTCTTCTACGGGGTGCATACACATGCACATACACAAACGCTTTTTTTTTAGGAAGTGCCATTTCAAAGGAGAGTTTTCAAAAAAAAAAATTCTTGGGACAAGAACAAAAATATGAATGACTTTTTCATTCCTGTGATTGAATTAAATTCCTTTTAACTATATGACAAACTTCAAAAAAGTCAATCACCAAAAATCATAGCTACTATGTTATGGCTCACGCTTGTAATCCCAGCACTTGAGAGACTAATGTAGGCAAAGCCCTGAGAGGTCTGAGTTAGCCTGGGCTATGCAGTGAGTTATATTTCAGCCAGCCTGAAATAACAGTGAGACCCTGTTTTTAAAAACCAAATTCATAGCTGGGTGGTGGTGGCATATACCTTTAATTTCAGCACTCAGGAGGCAGAGGCAGGCAGATCTCTGTGAGTTCAAGGGCCACCCTGGTCTATAGAGGTAGTTCCAGGACAAGTTCCAAAGCTACAGAGAAACCCTGTCTCAAAAAACAAAAACAAACAAACAAAAAAAATCACAAATACTCCATGTATGAGGTATTTAAAAATAAGCTATGACTTAATATTAGAAAGATGAGACACTGAAAAGTATTAGGGAAGGAATTTAACAGACTAAACGAAAACACAATTTTTCAGGTTAAAATCAGATTGGATATTTGAAACAATTTTTCACTGGTTATTAAAAGTATAATGAATTTTTATTACAATAAAGGTTTTAATTTATATGTATAAAAACTTTAGCAATCAAGTTCTAACATCATATTGAGCTTTTAATTCAGTTAAAAATATCTAATTAAAACATGCTTTCAACATAATGGCCCAAAACAGTGTTTGACAACATTATGTCTTCATCAGCGGTAGAACCCTATTTTGGCGTAGATCTCAATCAAAACAGTTATTTCTGTGAGCTATTTATGTCTATGTCTGTTAATATTAATACTAACCTGACTAGTTAAGCCTATGTGTCTATGCTTTCTTTCTGGCTCCAACCTTCCCGCAGGTTATCTTGATCACCACATGAATACAGAGCTAGTGTGTCCTACATTTCAGGCTAATTATGTTAAGTGAGGCATTCAGTATACATAATGCGAGTGCTGGGCTAATGCCGGAGCACCTTGTGCTCAAAGCCAGCATATGGAAGACAGAAACACCTTGTTGTTGTTTTTTTTTTAAAGTGAGGGGTGTAAATAAACCCAAAGATACAGTATGAAAAACTATATAGTCTGATTCTCCATGATAAAAAAAAGAACAGAAGTTCAGAGATTTGAGAAACCATATGTCAAGATCAAATGCACATCAAAAAGAGAGTGAAAGAAAAGATACTGAAGCTAGCAAAATAGCTCAGCAAGGCAAAGTGCCAGCAACTAAGCCTGCCGACCCTGAATTCCATCTCCAGAACCCAAGTAAAGGCACAAGGGAAAGATGGACTCCAAGAACTGTCCTCCAGCTTCCACACATCTGCCACAGCACATGCACCCACACAGATACCATTCGCTCACATACATATACAATAACTTTAAAAAGGAAATTGGATTAGGATAGGAAAAGACTATTTAAAGAAACTATGATAGAGAAAACTTCCTAGAGTGAGTGCATTTACATCTTTAAGAAGCTTGGATGACTGAAAACAAATAAACAGAAAATATCATTCTAGACACATCATAATGATACTGCTGAGAATCCAAGATAAGAAAAAGGATGGGAGGTGAAAAAATAGTTCATGTTAGAGAACAATAATCCAAAGAGATGGGGCAACACAGTCAGTTAAGGGACAACACAAGCCACTTTTCAGGATGGCAGATTATGAAACTCCATGCATTTATTAAAATATTCCCTGTGTTCCAACAAGAGTAAATACTACTTGTGTATACATTTTAAAAATGAGAGTGATGGTGCACATATATAATCTCAGCAGAACCATTGTGAACTTAAGGCTAGCCTGGGCTATAAAGTGAGACCCTAGAAGATGAATGAAGAAGAAGGGAGGGGAGAAAAAGGGAGGGGAAGCAGCAGCAGCAACCTGGATATTATTCGTTACAGTCTTCACTCAGTGCCCCCACACCTCATCAGTTAGCATCTCCTACCAAACGTGTGCTGAGATTTTACAAAGGTGTACTATTCCAGCCATCCCCACTACACTATCTGGTCTCTCTCTCATCATCCCAGTCTGTAACTGGTCCTAAACCTAAGCTCTCCAACCTCGCTTAGCAGAAGGGAGTCCTTGCTTCATTAGTAATGAAGGGACAAAACCAACTGCATTTTGTGCTAGGCCCCAAGGTAGGTATCAGGAGAGCGGGAAGTTCCCTAGACTGCAGCCCAGCTGCTCTGGGGTTGATTATCAGCAGAGTGGAGAGTCACCTAGATTGGATCAATCAGAGAACCACCTGTACCCTTTATGCCAAAAACAACAGATCTGTGGTTTTCTGCCTTTATAAACCCTGTCTAAGAATGGTGGGGCACCTCCTCTGGCCCCTGCTGCGTCGGTGTGTGAGAGAGGTGCCTATCGTGATTTGTACTTCAGGATTAAACCTTGCTTTTTGCATTTCAGTGAGTCTGTATTTCTGGTGGTCTTCTTGGGGTCTCCGCGACTAGGGCACTACATTTGGGGACTCGTTCCAGGATTCCCCAGAGACCCTAACATCCCAATGGTTTAAGCCAGCTGGAGGGGTGAGTTACAGAGCTTTCCCTGTCTGTCTTTTGTTTGTCTGTAACCTTTGATTTCAGAAGCGGCCACATTCAGCACAAAAGGCAGAGTTGATAGCTCTTCCAAAGGCCTTACAGATGGGGAAACGCAAAAAGCTAAACATCTACACAGACAGCAGGTATGCCTTTGCCACAGCCCACATCCACAGGGCTGTCTACCAGGAGAGGGGTTGCTAACAGCAGAAGGAAAAACTATTAAAAACAAACAGGAGATTCTGGATCTCCTACAAGTATTGCGGGGGCCCACAAAGTTGGCAATAATACACTGCCCCAACACCAAAAAGGCTCCAGAACAATACAACTGGGAAACAATCTGGCTGCTAAAACAGCAAAAGAGGCGGCTTCAGCCCCCAGGGCTATGGTGACTTTAACTGACCCAGGAGCCAGGGGCCTGCCACAGATCCCCAAGTCCATACTTGAAGATCTAGCCTGAACACACACTCTCCCCACGGTCAGCGAATAGAGGAACGGTGGAAAACTGCCCAAAGATTGGGACGTGAGATACTGAAAAAGTACACCACTCCTCACACTTGGGAACACGTAGAATGCAGGACCTATTGTGGAGGGTTCAGGTCAAAATTCAAGATGGTAGCCAGATTATTGAACAGATAGTGACACAAAGCCAGGCATGCCAGCTGACAAATGTGGTGAGCACCCCCTCCAGCCCAGGAGTATGTCAGTGGGGAACTCTGACATTCCAGAACAGGTACGTACTGGAATGTAGACGTTACTGAAATCAAACCTGGAAAAACTGGATACAAATATCTCTTAGTGTTTACAGATATTTTTTCAGGGTGGACTGAAGCGTTCCCACCAAGCACAAAACAGCCACAGTGGTGGCGAAGAAGCTGATTGAAGAAATCTTGCTTAGGCATGGGTTCCCAGTCATGACAGGGTCAGACGATGGCCCTGCCTTCATCTCTCAGGTAAGCCAGGGACTCGCCGCTGCACTGGGGACTGACTGGAAACTTCACTGTGCATAGAGACCTCAGAGCTCAGGGCAGGTAGAAAGGATAAATAGAACAGTAAAAGAGACCTTGACTAAACTGGCCTTGGAGATTGGCGCTGGCTGGGTAACTCTCCTTCCCTCTGCCCTTTTTAGAGTCAGAAATGCCCCTATCAAACGGGTCTGACCCCTTTTGAAATTATGTGTGGGCACCCTCCCCCTGTGATTCCTAGCTTACAAACTGACCTGATTGCTGACTTAGATGATCAGGACTTGTTCAAAGCCATCCAGCGGCTCCAATCGGTTTATAAAACCATATGGCCTAAGCTTAGGGTGATTTATGAACCTACCTCTGTTCCAACCCCTCATAAATTCAGGCCTGGAGACTGGGGTTTTATCTGGAGGCATCACCCAAAATTGCTAGAGTCAAGATAGAATGGGCCCTACATGGTTGTTCTGACAACACCAACAGCCTTCAAAGCTGTTGCCTCTTGGGTCCATTATTCACATGCCCACCCAGTGATCCCTTCGCCTACAAGAGGACTATCGAAGCAAGACCTGGGAGGCATCCAAACACCCCACAAACCCCCTAAGGTCTGGTTCAAGCATCGTTCCTGATCCTGTTGATGCTGGTTCCCTCTGCTCCTGCTAAAGAAGTCAACCCCCACGTACCCTTTAAACTGACTTGGGTTCTCGAGGATGGAGAATCATACAAAACTCTGTACCAGACTACCCGTGTGGCCCCACTGCACACCTGGTGGCCTGACCTAGATTTCTGCTTTAGTGACCTGAACCACATCTATAGAGCAGCAGGCTAGGCGGAGGCCAGGAAGTATGGTTTTTAGATGTGCCCAGGTCACATCAGGAATAGAAACAGTGTGGAGGCCTAGAATCCTCCTTCTGCAAAAGTCGGGACTGTGTCACCTCTAATGATAAGGAATGGAGATGGGCTGTAAGTAGACCAGACTTAGTCACTTTTAAATATGTAAGACCTATCTGATATGTGTCCCCCCTCTTCCTCAGCCTGACAAACCCTGCAGGACAGGTGACCTAGACCAGATAAGATTACTTTCACTGATGAGGGAGGATGGGACACATGACGGTCATCAGGCCTACACTGGAGTGTAATATACTACAGATATGGGGAACATGCCCCGACCACCCTTGTAATTCGACTTAAGATAGAGCTAATAAAACCAGCAATAATAGGCCCCAATAAGGCACTGAACCCAAATACTACTCCCTCACCCACAAAGAGACTCGTGCTCCAGCACTAACTCTAACCACACTTTCACCTAAAACATGGGCCCCAGATGCTTTAGCTATTACCAAGCCTTCAGTGCCAGAACAGCATCCCCTCCTGGAGCTTCTAAGGCTTAGTGGTTCTAAACTCCTCAAGGCCAACCTTAACCAACTCTTGTTGGCTCTTTTAAGACGTGGCTCCCCCTTATTATGAGGGAAATGCTGTCCAGGGCCTTATTCGAGAAGTGGCGAAGTCTGATGAATGTCACTGGTATTCACAACACACTCTAACCCTGGGACAGGTAACAGGACAAGGGCTTTGCATAGGTAAAGTTCCCACTGCCAAGCTTTTCTTTGCAATTCAACTCATCCCCTCACAACCACTGCAGAGCACCTAATCCCCCCAATGACACCTGGTGGGTGTGCTCCTCTAGGTTAACTCCTTGTGCACACACTATCGTTCTAAAGGACTCCAAAGGATACTGTGTCCTCATCAGACTGGTACCCCGGCTCCTTTATCATGACTACCAAGGTTTCCTAGATAGAGTGGGGCAGGATGCTGGTCTGACTAGAATTAAAAAGGGAGCCCATGAGCACCCTTACACTCAGTATCCTCCTGGGGGCGAGCCTCGCAGGGTTGGGGACAGGAACTGCCTCTCTTCTGTCCCAAAGTGAACATTACTCTGCTTTGAGAGAAGCTATAGATGCTGACACAGAACACCTAGAGACCTCAGCCTCCCACTCGCAGGACTCCCTCTCCTCACCAGCTGAAATGGTTTTACAAAACAGAAGGGGACTGGACCTAATCCTTTTACAACAGGGAGGACTGTGTGCAGCCCTGGAAGAAGAATGCTGTTTCTATGTAGACCATTTGAAACTTCTAAGGGATATCATGGCCAATGTGTGAGAGGGACTTAAAAAGAGAAAGAGAGAAAGGGAAGCCAACCGAGGATGGTTTAAACCCTGGTTAACTACTTTCATCTCTACTCTGACGGGACCCCTGGTTATCTTGCTGTTACTGCTGACTTTCAGACCATGTACACTCAATAGACTAGTCCAATTTATGAAGGAATGATTGGGGACCATCCAACTTATGGTGCAGCACTCTTAGAACTATAGACCCCTCGGGACAGAAGATACCTATGAGCTAACTATAAGAGACCCATGTTTGGGTCAACCTACAAGAAGGGGGTGGGGAAGAAGGGACAAAACCAACTCCATTTTGTGCTAGGCCCCAAGGTTTATAGCAGCAGAGCAGGAAATTCCCTAGACTGGAACCAATCAGAAAATCACCTGTACCCTTTATGCCCATAACAATGGATTTGTGGTTTTCTGCCTTTATAAACCCTGCCTAAGAACGGTGGGCCACCTCCTCTGGCCCCTGCTGCGTCAGTGTGCGAGATGAGGAGCCTATCACAATTTGTACCACAGAATTAAACCTTGCTTCTTGCATTTTGGTGAGTCTGAGTCTCTGGTGGTCTTCTTGGAGTCTCCACGACTCGGGCACTACAATAAGAGCTTTAAATGGACACGCATTATAAACACAGGATCTTAACCTACAACCTTAAGTCCTGAACTGGAATCTTTAGTTGGTTTTTCTTACTCGTTTCTCTTTGGTACTTCGGGAAGCCTGCCACCCAGCTCCCAAATAAATCACACTGAGGCTTTTAGGAATGCCGGGCCTTAGCTTGACTTATTTCTAGCCAACTTTTCTTAACTTATATTATCCTGTCTACCTTTTGCCTCTGGGCTTTTATCTTTATCCTAAATACCTTTCATTACTTCTTACTAAGGGGCTTGCTGTATAGCTGGACCCTGGAGGTCTCCCCCTCTCAAGCCTAGATCTCTCTTCTTTCCAGATTTCTCCTATTTATTCTCTCTGCCTGCCAGCCTCGCCTATACTTTCTCCTGCCTAGCTATTAGCCGGTCAGCTCTTTATTAGACCAACTGGGTGTTTTAGACAGGCAAAGTAGCACAACTTCACAGAGTTAAACAAATCCAACATAAAAGAAAGCAAAACTCCTTTGTATCACTACAGAAATCTACAGGATCCAGGTGACTCAAAAGCACATGAAAATGTAAAGCCCTAGTCTAAAGCAAGCAGGGTAAACAGAAATCTGACTAGGATACTCCTCCACTTAAAACTGCGAAAGCATCCTACCAAGGTCAACCTCAGCTGGATCCCCTCTTATCACTCCACGCCCATTCCACAATTCTGAAAGATATAACTGCCTATATATCCCAAAATGCATAACTCGATGCTATGTTCCATCTCTCCACACCTACATCCCTCGGCTTCCTTACCCTGGAGTACCTTTTCCTCACATGGCAAACTCCTATGTCACCTTCAAGCTTCTACTCAGAAGTCAACCATAGTAAACTCTGATAAACAGCTACATTGACTGAGGTAGGAGTTCCTCTGGCCTGCTAAACCCACATCCCTAGACTCCACACATTATTATCAAGTTACCTGTTCAAAAATTTCTCCAGGCCTAGTTTTCTCAAAGGCAGTGGCCTCATTTTTTTCCCCAACTTTTTTTTCCCTGCACCTAACACTGAGGATATGTTCAAGAAAGGTTCTGATAAGCTGAAATACTTTTTTATTCTTTTAAAAAAAATATTTCTACTTTTTATGTGCGGTGGTGTTTTGCCTGCATGTGTGTCTCCATGAGGGTATCGGGTTCCCTGGAACTGGCGTTACAATCGTGAGCTGCTATGTGGGTGCTGGGAACTGAACCTGGGTCCTCTGGTAAAGCTCTTAACCACCCACTCACTCTCTAGCCCCATACTTTCTTATTCTCATAACACGTTTCAGTTTAATAAAAACCTGTTTCCCCGTTAGAGTTCTTAAAAGAAATTCTAAGAACCATCCCTTTGGCCAGAGATAAGTTCAGGTTAAGGGGTCCTTGTCCAAAGTACTTAGCCCCAGTGCAAGGGAGGTTTTTTTTTTTTTAATGCCATAAAACCACTAGCATCATTTTGTTTCCAGATATTTGTAAATTCTTAACACGGTTGTCCCCCAAGGCGCTAATCTCACTCACAAGGCCGCGTCCTGCTGGCGGCCATTTCCACTCAAACCTACAGAAAGCCTAGCCCGACGACAGCAGTGCAAGGGTTCTAGCCCTAATGGCGGTCACCTTCTCCAGGGCAGCTCCTCATCTTCCAGTTCGTTCTCTGTCACCGACCCCTCAATCACTGTTTCATCACTGTCACACTCTGAAGCCTGGGCACCGTTCTCCATCTTCGCCCCTCACTCGAGGGTTATAGTAATCTCCTCCTCTAGTTTCCCCTTATCCGCACGCCTTTTGCTTGCTTTTCGCGGTAGGGAGTTTAAAACAACAAAACTAGAGCCAAGAGGAAAAGCCTCTCCGGGCCGCTGATGCCAAACGCCGCACGCGCAGCGTCGTCGTCGACGCACGGGCTAACCGGCGCTCGAGCTTGCGCGCGCCACCAGAGCGCAGCCGCGAGCCACAAACAGCCGCGAGCCACGCGTCAGCGTGCAATCCCAGGGGCCCGCCCCGCCCCCGCCCGAGGCTCCGCCTCTGACTCCTAAGCCCCGCCCCTAACCACCAAAGCTCCTCTCCGGCCGTCAGTCCCCGCCCCTAGCTCCCGAGGCTCCTCCCCAACTCCTAGGAGGAATAAAGCCGCTCTTCAAAGAACGCGCTGGTCGGCGTTGAGTTTCTGGTCCACCATAGCCAGCCCCCGAGGCTGGTTTGCTCATTTGCTAGCGATTCTGACTCAGTTCTCCACACTCCCTGCACGTCCCAGCGGCCACAGCTCCAGAACATTTTGAAGCCAGGTTGTAATCTTAGACGCAGAAGGCTTTGCAGTCTTTGCAGGCTCCTTACTTCTTAATTCCTTTGATGCAGCCTCCCTTAGTGTTGCCCTAAATAGGTAAAAGAAATGCTTATCAAAGGTTTTCAGATCCGCTAATCCAATAGATACACATTTTGTATTTTTCTCACAACTTTGTAAATTACCCTGAAATATAGATTGTACAGGAAAAGAAGTATAAATGTTTTTCCCCTTTATCAAATGTTAGAATAGCGGTGCCTAGCAATACCTAGCAACACCCCAAAATTATTATCTTACCAATGAAGATCTAGGGTTTTTTCGCTCATATGATGCTTTTTAAAGTGTTTTACACACATTACCATGTGTGTGTGTTTGTGTCTGTGCATACACAAGCATATCACAGTGTGAGTGTGGCACTCATAGGACAACGACTTGCAGGAACTGGTTCTCTCCTTCCACTGTGTGGGGTCCAGGGCCCTCAAGTTTGGCAAGTGCTTTGCCACCGCACCTCCCACTCTGAGGTGTCTTCTCACATTTCCTGTGATTCAAACTGTTCTTTGGGGTTCTGGAGTTTGAAGTTTGGGGCCTAGTGTACATTAGACAGGTGCTCTGCCTCCCCCCCCCCCCATCTCCAGCCTTCCTTTTACTTTTTCAATCAAGGTGTCTCAAAGTTCCTTGGCCTGCCCTCCATGCACTCTGGAACCCAGGCTGGCTTCGGGTTTGACATCCTCCAGCCTCGCTCTTCTGAGTGGTTGGGATTATAAGCCCGCCACCGGGCCCAGCTTTATTTGAAGGTTTTAAACTCAAACGACAGTTATACAACACACGAGGACTTTTCAGCCAATAAAGACTGTGATTGCCTGGTCATGTCCAAAGTCTTCGGTTGTGTAAGCACGATCACTGATGTTAGCACAAAATAAAGTTCAGAGTCTCAGTGCAGGGCAGAAGAGCAAACCGGAGGGAGTCTGTGCAAGACTCTGCTGCCCTGTCGTTCTTCAAGCTGCAAGCTGAGTCAGGGGACTGAACCCTCCAAGGAATCCCAAGAGTTTCAGAGATGACAGAAATCAGACACTCAGCGTCTGAGAAGAACTGGAACTCAGCTTTCATTTCAATTAGTTTCGATTAAAGTTATTCAACGCTATAGAACTACATCAAATATATAAAAGCTGGTATTCTCAATGATAATTGGCCACTCTTAGAAATTGCTGAAATCTGTTTATTATAAATTAATAAAGAGAGAAATAAAGCATTTATCCTGCTTTTCCTATCAAATCTATATTTTAGGATAACCATGGTTGGTGAAAGAAAAATATTCTAATTTATAGCAATATATGATATATATTTTTTTCTTCTTTTGAGAAAGGGTCTTAGGCGAAGAAAATAAAATCTGATGGTTTATTTTCAAAGGTATCTTGAACTAGTGTATGTCCAGCTACAAATGAACAGAAAACACTAGACTCTTGGAAATGTCTGCTAGTTTAGCTATCCTCCCCACAAAATAAATAAATAAATAAATAAATATACTAGAAGTTTGGAGTAGAAAATTACTAACAGCTAAGCTTGCCTGCAAGGTCATACTCATGATAAGCTTTAAAATACACTGGATATAAAATGTAGTGATGAAGCCACACATAATTTTTGTTGCAGAAAGGACATATGTAATCGACAGAGGGTAAGTTAAGACCTAGGTGTCTAACGTTATACCCTCCTGATTGCCCAGTTAATGAGGAGATGGAGGAGGGTCATGAATTCAGGGTTCACAAACCATTCTCTGTGCTCACCCACTGTGCCCACCACTCTGGGATGATGTCTGACGTTGCAAAGTTGTAAGATAAACTGCCTTACTTTTATGCTCTGAATATCCATGGTTCTCAGAATGAAGAGAGGGTCTTTGTTTCTCATGCTGGCCCACACGCATAGCCATCCTGTGACACATGGGGCTTAGCGTTGGAGAGATGGCTCAGTAAATAAAATGCTTCTTGTGCACAAACCTAAGGACCAAATTCCAGATCCCCAGCACCCACATAAAGCCTGGTGGAGTGGCAGCTTGCCTGCAATCCCAGTGCTCAGGAGGCAGAACTAGGGGATTCTACCTGGCAAGCTGGCTAGATAGACTAGCTGAACCAGTGAGTTCCAGGTTCGGTGAGAGACCCTGCCTCAGTAGATAAAATGTTCTGTGATTAAGGAAGATACCAGTCATCAACTTATGAACATGAACACATACAAGCACACATGCACCATATGTATGCTGACAGACATGCAAATACCCAGTTATCAACTTATGAATCTGAACACATACAAGCACACATGCACGGTATGTATACTGACAGACATTCAAACACCCAGACATCAACTTCTGACCTAACATGAACACATACAAGTACACACACACCAACACATGCACTATATATATGCTTACAGACATGCAAACACACATACATATGCATTTGCATCACATATACAAACACATACACAAAACAAGCAAGAAAGCCTGTCTCAAAAAAACACCACTAAAATAAATAAAATTGCCTTTTTAAAGGCTGAAATTAAAAAGTAATAGAAGAGGCCATGGCAAGCTATCAAACAATTAAAGAATAAAATGCAATGATGTGGGAGTGATTTCTTACTAATAAAGAAACTGCCTAGGCCCATTTGATAGGCCAACCCTTAGGTAGGCGGAGAAAACAGAACAGGATGCTAGGAGAAGGAGGCTTGGTCGGGAGTCGCCATGATTCTCCCACTCCAGACAGATGCAGGTTAAGATCCTTCCTGGTAAGCCAGCTCGTGGGCTACACAGAATATTAGAAATGGGTTAGATTAATATGTAAGAGCTAGCCAATAAGAGGCTACAGATAACGGGCCAGGCAGTGTTTAAAAAAATACAGTTTCCGTGTAATTATTTCGGGGCATAACCTAGCCATGCGGGCGGCCAGGTGCCGGGGACACAGCCCTGCCGCTCCTAATTCAACAATGCAACATTTTTTTTTTAATTTTTTATTGAGAAAAAGAAAAAAAAAGTTTCTGCCTCCTC